TGCCTGGAGGACAATCTCCTAAACATTAAATTACAAACAGTAGAGTGAGTGCTATAGTGAGAACATACAAATAATGGTAGATCACAGTGAGGGAAGGCTTCAGAGAGTAGTACAGGAGGCAGCATTTGAACTGTACTTCGGAAGAGGGTAGGAGACTTGGAAAAGGGCATACTGGGAGAAAGACACAGAGGCTGGAAGTATAAGAGGTTTGGGAGAAGGGATTGAGTGTAGCAAGATTTGGAAGCTGTGGAGGGAGGTAGTAATCTGAGTATAGAGAGGATTAAGTGTGGAAAGGAGAATGAGGCCAGATAGTGGAAATCCTTTCCTGCCAGACCAGGACATTCACTTTATTCTGTAGTTAGTGAAAAAAACTATTGAAGTTTTTGATGGCAGGAATAAGATAAGGGTATTTTTCTTAAAAGACAGCAGCATGAACTGTTAATAAGAAAGAAGAGCAACTCAAGGCAGAAGTCAGTTGGGAGACAATTGTGCTGAGTAGGTTAGGAGCGACAAGGGCCTGCGATGAGGCCGTCTGGAGGAGGATGCGGTCATTGCAGGGGAGGTACCCAGCCTTGTGAGAGAGGGCTGTTGAGGAGAAAGGGGGACTCAGAATCCAAGCCTGTGTGACTGGGAAGAAACCAAGGCTGAAGAACGTGGATGGGAAAGAGATGGGCAGAGTGTGAGGTGCTGGTGGCTTATTCCAAAGGAGCTGTCAGTTTGGAGCTCAGGAGAGAGCTCCAGGTTCCAGCTGAAAGTCTGGTCTCCGTTTGATGGAGTTCACTGGAGTTGAGCCTGGCTGAAGTCACTGGGAGTGTGGAACATATAGAGGAGGTTGCTCCTGGCACACCCATGGATGGGCCACATCTGTACTTAGCCACAGAGTGAGATAGCGACACAACAGGAAGAGGCAATCCCAGGAGAGAACAGCTGCTAGGTGGCCATGGAACAGTGTGTCAAGCTGGTTAGCAGCACTGTCAGTTGCTGCAGAGGCCACAGGGAAAGAGGACAAGTTGAGAAATGAAAGGGAGAGATCCAGAGCACGGGTGGAAGATTGGTCTTGGAGAAGTGGAAGGACAGACAAGGGGAAGGGGAAGGGTGAGAGGAGGCTCAGAGCAACCTCGAAGGGCCGAGGGACCTTACAGTGAAAAGGATGTGAGTGTGAGCGTACTTGAACCTCGTGCTGCAGCAGGTGGGAGGGGAAGGCACCAAGGGCTGGGCAGTCATATTGTGGAGCAGTAGCCAGGCCCCAAGCAGGGGTGCCACAGGGCGGGGCTAGTCAGTCATTCCCTTTTCGGGAGTTTCTATCCAGCACCTGGCAGTCTCTGTAGCCACTGGCTTTGCCTGACGCTTAGCAACAATGGTGGAAGGTATCAGATTTTCCAGGGAGATGATGAGAACATCTGTAGGCCTCAGTTTCCCCAGCGTACGAAGAAATGGTTGACCTGAATGATCTTGCAGCTCAGGCTGCCTGCAGGTCTATGAAATGGCTATCTCTGGGTCCAAGCTGAGTCAGGAAGGCCAAGCTGGGAAGGCTGGCACGCGGGACAGGGGAGGGTTAGTTGCTGAGAGATTTTGGCATTCAGGGTCTTGGAGTGAGAGATGTCCTAATCTGGTGAGGTCCGCGGTGGGGTTGTCCCTTCAAGTCAGTCAATCTTCATGAACCTCACTGTGTGCTCAACCCTTCCATTCACCTGATTTCACTGAGAGCAGCCTTGTGAAGGCAGGGATCATGTTTTCACTGAGGAATTCGATAACTTGACAAGGCCACGTGACTAATTAGCACAAGAACCAGACTGTCTAGCTCCACTCCAAGACTCTTTCCCACTCTGTCCTCGCTTTCCCAACTCACTTTGAGCATGATCAGCAACAGAGCCCGGAAATAAAAGTAGCAGACAACACTGATATTTGCTGGACGTTGTGCTAACTTCTTTATATTCATTCATGCATTTGCTCTTCCAGCTCCCTTGAGGGAGATAGTTTTACCTGGAGAAGCTCAGTTACCTCGTCCAGGATAACCTTGCCTGCAAGTGGCAGAGCCAGCTTTGAACCCAGGCAGGCTGGGTGTGAGGGCCTTTGGCTGTAGGAACGTTTTCACCTCTACCTGAGCTGCCACCTCTCCCACCCCAGCTTTGGCTTCTTCCATCAATTTCCCTTCTTTTTAAATGTCTGCCAGCTTTATTGGGAAGGGGTAGAATCGGGATTTGAACCCAGCTATGTCTGTCTGACTCCAGAGCCACATCAAGCTGTTCTATCTCCTGCTCTTTTGTGACGTTTGCCTATCAGCCAGTGTGCCAGTTAGGGGTGTAACAATGAGTCAAGATGAGGCAGCCTCACCCCACGGCCCAGCAGAGGGAGGTGTCCAGGCCACGAGAGAGACCTACTCTTCAGCACCCAGAAAACTTTCATTGCCAACGCAAGCGGGAGCCTTCTGTCTGACCCAGAGCACATCTTTTTCCCTTTGGGCTCTCTTTCTGCAGCATAGGGAAATTAGAGTGACTGACTTCATGTAACTGCCCTGAAAAGCTTCCAGAATCTTCCCTGAGAAGTACTGAAAGGTGTCCATCCCTTCTGGCTGATGCTCCTGTGTAGCTATGGCAACTGAATGGCTGGTCAGGTCATCCTTAGGGTCTGTCAGCTCAGCCTGGACCACTGGGGCTTCCAGAGAAATCGAAGTAAACAACTTCTTTAAAAGCTTTAAAAAAACCCCAGCAAACCAGGCTCCTCCCTCTGTCCCATCTTGATGAGCATCTCTTCATTTGTTGGTTTCCTCCTTTGCATTCTCTTGATGCCTGGCATGGAACAGGCATATGGGACAGCCTAAAATGCCATGGTCACAGCTGGGTCCGAAGCCTGCTGAGTGCTGAAACTTTCCCTTCCAGAGCCTTGGAGCTCCCCAGACCCCAGCGCCTGGGATCCTCTCACCTCCTGACCCACTAGTTCATCAGCCCAGGTCAAAATACTAGCAGCTACTCATTTTGAACTTTTACTCTGTGTCAGTCTCCATGCCTGGTGCTTATACACATTATCCCATTTCATCTTCACACCCCCATTGTGAGGAAGAGGTTTCATCCGGGGTCATGCTATTAGGATATAGCTGAGCCGAGATTTGAAACCTGGGTCTTTCTGAATTTAACTTCTCTTCTATACTTGGAATGACTGTGGGAGGGCTCCCCCTGCCAGACTTGGATGGTCCAGGACAATAGCACAGTTAAGAGCAACGTCCCGTGAGCCGGACATCCTGCGGTTCAAGTGCAGCCTACCCAGCTTGTGCAGCCACGAGCAAATTGATCGAGGACACAGTTCCTCCTTATAATGGGGATGGCCGTAATCAGACCCTCCTCTAAGGCCGTCGTGAAAACTTAAGTGAGCTAACATGTGCAGAGCACTGTGCCCAGGCCCTCCTGACACATAGTGAGTGCTTCTTACTATTGCTTTTCTCAGAGTGCTGTCTCAGGGTTTGCTCCAGGAACCCTTCCACTCCCTCACGTGGGGCAAGCTTAGTTGGCAGCTCCTGTGTGTGGATTTCCAAGCTGCTTACTCGGTGAGATCCCATGAGTTTGCTGCAGCTAAGACAGCAGTGGCTCAGGGCACATTGGTCCACTCGAGTCCCAGTGTTCTGTTCCCAACAAGCCCTGTTCCAGGCCCCTTGGGTGAGACCCAGGTGTGCTGCAGTACAGGGTATCTGATACTCAGCACAGTGCTGTGAGCCCAGCAGGCACCTGGCACATTCGAAAGAGGCTGGTGGGGAGCACTGGGCTATGCTGCTGTCAGTCTTCAGCACATAGGTGTCCTGGGTCCCTGCAGCGGTCCGGATGCCTGGTTTCCCAGGTCACTGGTCTCCAAGCATGACAGGGTTCAGAACTGATTTTGTGCCTGAAGTAAGTGGACACACGAGACTTCTGCCAGAGATTTGAGCCTGCGCTTATTGAATGGGCAGGAACCAAGGACTTGGGTATGAATAACCATGACCCTGCCTGAGGGTGACAGCTAGTGCCCTGTATAGACTCTGAACTTTCAAGTAGGACATTTGTAAGCCAGCCATTTGAAAACTGAAAAATAGCAAGTAGTGAACACAACAGCTGTGCTTCCTGAGTCTCGCAGCACCCCTGGCCCTCTGGGGAAAACTCATTGCCCCCCATTCCTCTTCATGGCTAAGCCAAGACCTCCAGAAAGCCTTCCCAGCCAATCCCAGCCGAATCAGATGGTCCTGCTAAGTGGGGTCCCACTTCAGACTGCTTCGCTCATCTCGACTCTTTAACAGAAGATGGTTGTTGAACACACTACTTTGGGATATAAAAAATCTGAAGGATTAATAGTTTATTTTTGGGAACAGGAAAAAAGAAAAAAAAATAGTTTGTTTTTATGCTGAGTTGAAAATGACCTAAATATACCCTGATGACTCCTGAGGACTGTGGTTCCTAAGAGAGCATGCGACTGTCCCACTCGCCCTCCACAGGCTCGAGGGAAGGAGCTAGTGGCTTTGCCGGGAGAATAAGCGGGTGGGGTACATGGCCTTGCTGGAGCAGGAGCCCTGAATGGTTTCCTTGCCTTACGCAGCCCTGATCGAGTCCCTCAACCAGAAACCACAGCCTGCCAGTGACCAACCCCAAGCCACAGACAAGACCCATGCAACCCATAGGAAAGCAGGTGGGTCCGATGCCCCCTCGGCCAACGGCGAAGCTGGAGGAGGAGAGAGCACCAAAGGCTACACTGCGGAACAAGTAGCGGCTGTGAAAAGGTAGAGGCAGGGCCGGGGCCTGGTGGTGGTGGGAAGTTTTCAAGCCTAGAGAAGGCTTCCTGCGGCGTCTGTCCACCTCACAGCTGCCTTTCGTCTGGGTGGGCCCTAGGAGGGTCTTGAAGACGGTGGCGGTCCAAGCGGTCAGGCTCTCCAGGCCTAATCTTATTTTCCACAAGGCCCTGGAATACAGTGTGGGAATCAGGGCTCCACTGTCCCCTCCCACCAAGACAACCCACAGCAGAGGCTGCAAACGCTGACACTGCTGGCTTCCTCTCCTGCTGGCCAGGCGGGCCCGGCCTCTTTACACAGCTCTGTTTGTCAGACAGAAATGAGGCCTGGCCTCCCCTTCCAGATTCTCCCCCAACCCACACCCCCACCCCCAACAAAGACCCTTTCAGACCAGAGCCTGTGTGGGGTAGAGTGGAGACAAGAGACAGTTATCCCTCCAAGGCTCGGGCAGGCCCTGCGCAGAGCAGCTCACTACCAGGCTGAGACGGTGCATCCAGTGCTTCTCAGGATAGACACCCCAGGCCTCCCCTGACAGCTAGCCTCAGGATCCCTCCAAGGTCATTCCCACATGTCCTGGCAGCTAGTGAAATATTAGCAAGCTTCAGGACTGGGGTTCAGCCTGCTTGTGATCTAGCATGACTGTAGTGTGCCATAAAAGCATATGCCATATTTACATTTTTCTGACCAGACAGGGTTTTGACCAGAAAAACCCATTGGCTGTAAGCAATAGAAACATTGTGGGGAGTTAGGAAAGCCTGGAAAAGACCAAGAATCGGGGTCTCCAGGGACCCCAGGAGTAAGAATTGATGGAAGAGAAGCAGTGTCTCTTTAGGGCCCCAAGATGAGCTGAATAGACACCTGCCATGGCCTTAATGTTGTCCACTCAAGTCTCAGATTGCCACTCAGGAGAGGAGACACTGGCCAAGCTTTGGACACACTTGCCCTTGGGCAGGGACCCCTAATTGACAGTCCTGAGGTTGCCCACAGTGAGGGTGCTGTTGACAAGGGGCGGTGATTCCTGGCCTGTCAAACACAGCAGCTACCCCCTCTAAATCCTAAATGTGTTCTCGGTATTTCTGCTGGGCCCTACTCAGACCCCCATCCCAGTTGGAGCTTTGTGAGGCTCCCTTATTCCTGAGGTCGACAGCTTGTACCCCTGAGCGTGTTGTTGGCCCACCTAACGTCCCTGGGCCAATGCCGCGCTCCCCCCACCATGCTCTTCTCCCTTCCCCAGGGTCAAGCAGTGTAAAGACTACTACGAGATCCTGGGGGTGAGCAGAGGGGCCTCCGATGAGGACCTGAAGAAGGCCTACCGCAAACTGGCCCTCAAGTTCCACCCAGACAAGAACCATGCGCCTGGCGCCACGGAAGCTTTCAAAGGTAAGCTGGCCCTGGTTTCCTGGTATTTTGGTGTTCTTATCTCCTATCCTTGGGAGGAAATAAGAGGCTTTTCCGGGCCGTGGTCTTGGACCCAAGCTCTGCCAGCTCAGGAGCTGCTTCCTAGGACAAAGGTCCTAGTAGCCACCGCTAGCCACACAGCCTGTCAGAGGTCAGATAACGCCACTCCTGCCTCCCTATCTTGTTCCCTGGGGGTTACAGGAGGGGAGCTGAGGCAAAAGAGGACCCAAGGCTGCACAGTGATTGAGGGGCAGGAGCACTCCTCCTGACTCACCTGTATGCATTTCCCCATCTTGGGATCTTGGTAACAGTGTCCCTGTGCTGAGAAACTGAGCAGCCCCAGGTCAGGGGCTTCTAGCCTGGTGGCCTCCTCAGCACCAGCAGCCATAGCCAACCCATCCCTAACCCCCTCTACACATTCATATTCTCCCTCTCTCTCTCTTTTCCTCTCTTTCTCTCTCCCTGTCTCTCTCTCCCCCAATACATCCTAGGGCCTGCAGCAGGGGACATGGCAGTTTCTCTGATCTCGGGGTCTGTTGGTTCTAGGATGAGTGTTTCGTTCTGACTGAAATCATCAGCTGCCTTTTAATCATTTGTATTTTCTTTGAACCCATCAGGCACACATGTACAGACTTTGTACCCGCACTGTGCTGCTGAGCACTGCAGTTGCACATACTCCCCAGACATCTCTCATGCCCGCTTGTCCTTGGGACCTTCAGGGTCGTAGGCTCACCTCCCCCTGGGAGACGGCATGGTGACTAGCCCCTCCTGGCCCAGGCAGGATGCTGCACGGTACCAGGGCTGGGACCACAGCCAGGTGGGGAGCAGTGGCAGAGTAGACCCCCAAGACCTGGTGTGCTGTCCCCAGGGGCCCACCCCAGATGTTCCATCTCAGGCTGCTTGGGGTGGGTCCTGCATGGGGCAGTCTGCAGGCGTTGTCCCCTGCTGCCCGCCAGCCCCAGAGGGAGAAGGGAGGCAGGGGAGCTGTGGTTAATGTTTCTTCAGCCCTGACCTCTGCCTGCAGCCTGGGGCCTTGTCAGAAGGGGAGGAGGAGGGGCATTCTTGTTCTCAGGGGTTGCAGCTCTGACCCAGTTCTGTGAGACACTGGGCTGCTTGAAAGGAAGCAAGAGACTCGGGAGGGCCTGAGTTGGGGTCCTTTGGGGCACAGGCTTCCCGCCTGGGGAGCTATACTAGGGAAGCCCCAGGGCCAGGCAGAGGAACCGCAGCTGGGACCTGGACCCCAGGGAAGAGAGGGCTCCTCTCCCAGACCACGCGGCCGGTCCTGGAGGAGCCTCGACTAGAACCGGGGATGTGGCCGCTCCCAGCAGCTCCCGCTGCTCCCACTTCACAGCGGGACAGCATGTGTCTGTCTGGCCCTTCTGTTGCACTGTGACTTCAAGTTGCATAACCTGCAGAAAGAAATGCCCCATCTCACTGGGCACCTCAAGCGAGAGGAGTGGCTGGGCAAGGGGGTGGGTGGCGGTTTTCATAAAGTCAGAAAGCAGACTTGAAGCAAGACATCCCTGGGTTTGATTTTTTGCTCTGCAACATCAGAGCTCCGTGAGTTTACACTTGACCTCTCTTAGCCTGAGTTTTCTCGTTGATAAAATGGAGATTGGGTTGCTGTTAGGAGTAAATAAGATAATGCTGTAAAGGGCCTGGTTTGTAAAAAAGATGAACTCTTGTCATGAAGTAGAGAGCGAGGAGCTTGGATGCTAATCCTCTACCCAGCCCAGGCCACCCAGGTTTGCTTAGAGGTATTCCTGCATGTCCCCCTCCTCGCATTTGCCCAACACCCACGCTTCCCAATGGCCCAAGGACTCCTTCCTAAAGCACCCATTAAGTGTCTGAAGGAAGTGAGCTCTAGGCTGCCATGGGAGCCTCCACACATATCCCCAACATTCCCCAGGCCTGACCTTTCGATCTCCTTTGCAGCCATTGGCACAGCATATGCAGTACTTAGCAACCCAGAGAAAAGGAAACAGTATGACCAGTTCGGTGATGACAAGAGCCAGGCAGCCCGGCACGGCCATGGGCATGGGGACTTCCACCGTGGCTTTGAGGCTGACATCTCCCCTGAAGACCTCTTCAACATGTTCTTTGGTGGTGGCTTCCCATCTAGTAAGTCCCCCAACCCACCCCACAGCCAGGTCACCCCCGGGGGTGATGGCGGGGGACTGAATGCCAGCCTCTCCCTTTCCCAGCAGCCCTACTCCTGACTCGTCCCTCTGACCCCCAGGTAACGTCCATGTCTACAGCAACGGCCGTATGCGCTATACCTACCAGCAAAGGCAGGACCGCAGGGAGAACCAGGGTGACGTGAGTGAGGAAGGCGCTGGGGAGAGCAGAGGGGTGGGGAGGGACGTGCCGAGCTGTGTCTATTCCGGGATGGCAGTGGTCCCACAACTCGCAGCCAAGGAGCCATCTTGGGCCTCCCTTGCCATTCTGCCGAGCGCCACCAGAGGGAGCCACAGTCCACGTTGCCGGCTGGAAGGAGTAGGGATTTGATGGCTTCTGCTGGAGAATGTTGTCCACCTACAAACAGGCTGGAGTGTGAGCGGCCTTTGTGCAGTTCATTTGTTTATAAAGCCAAAGTAACATTTCCAAGCAATGTGAAGTTAAGTGTCATGAGGGAATTGTAAAGGATGACAACATAGGTGCTAACTCTTCTTTTTGCAAAAAATGTATGCAAAAGCTATGACAAGACAATGCTTCAGACACATTTTGAATCCCCAAGAACAGCTAGCTGACTAAAACTAAAATACTGTGGACAATTGCAGAGCATTTAAAATTATGGCAGGCAGTGGGGTTCCTTTTTGCTCTGACAATGTGGCCTTATGTTTTGTTTTGTTTTTTTAATTTTTGTGTGTATTTAACATACAGAAGAGTTTTAAATCACAGATTGTCACACAGTGAACAAATCTATATTTGTCATTTTTTAACTGGCAATTTTTAAATATATTTGTATGGTTTAAAGTTCAAAAAGGTTTACATGGTGAAGGTCTTCCACCAGCCCCGCCTCCCATTCTCCTGGAGGCAGCCACTGTTGCTCTTTTTTTTTTTTTTTTTTTTAATTCTCTCACAAGCAAATGCATTTACCCACCTTCCTCCTGTATTTAACACCAGTTGCTCTTTTGTTTTTATCTAGGGAAGCTGGCAGGTGGAAAGGCTTCTGTGTTTTGGGGACCTTCGGGAGGGAAGGGGAGAGAGTGGTGCCATGGCCTGTTTGCACGGCAACTGCCACCCGCCACCCAGGCTCTGCCGTGCCGGGGGAGCTGGTGGTGATTGTGGCGGACGCCGCTCCCCCACCTATGTCTGGCTTGGGTGACCATTGGCTCTTCCCTCCAGGGCGGGCTGGGGGTATTTGTCCAACTGATGCCCATCCTCATCCTGATCCTCGTGTCAGCTCTCAGCCAGCTCATGGTCTCCAGTCCACCCTACAGTCTGAGCCCAAGACCGTGAGTACCTGCATTTGGGGGCAAGGCTGGGGTGGCGGGCAAATGGGGACTTTGGAGTCTCGGCCACCATCAGGGACCTTCTTTCCCATCCTACAGATTCTTGATCATAATGCAGAAAGCTCACTTAGAATCAAGAAAATATAGTTCCCTTGTTGAGCCAGAGGGTCTTGATCTTTTTAGGATCATGGTCCCCTAAGAAAATGCAATGAAAACCACCTGGAGCAGTGCACATACACACAATTTTGCATATGATTTCACAGGCTTCATGACTCAGCTCCCCCGCTCCCCCATCTTATCCGCTGACCTTGAAATAAGAACCTCTTCAGGCTCTTATGTTCGGGGTGAGGGCCCTAGGGCCATGGAAAGAACAAGGGATCTAGAGTCAGACAGAGCAAAACTGGCTTTGAATCCCAGCTACTCTACAAGCTAAGCAGCTGTGTGACACTGGGCAAGTTACGTAACTTCTCTGAGCCTTGGTTTCTTCATCTGTAAAATGGGAATAACAACATCTACCTGCTTGTGAAAATTAAGTGAGTAAAACACATAAAATGCAAGGTTCCTTGGAAAAGCTCAACAATATTTGTCGAATGAATATATGGTCTCAGCTGCCAGTAGTGAATTTGCACAAGTTATTTGACCTTCTAAGGCGTCAGCTCCCCTCATTTATTTCTAGCATCTGACCTATTATCTGATACATAGTGGGTGCTCAGCTTCTATTGGTAGAAGCTCTGCTTCCACCAAGCAGTCTGGCTCTGGCTGGGAGCCTGGTAGCATCCCTCCGTGCCAGCAGGGGGCAGAGTCGGTCCACTAGGCCCACACCAGCCAGCACAGCCTCTCTGTGGCCTGATGCCAGCCCTTTTCTCTGCAGCTGGAGGGAGGAGAGGCAGCAGTGGGTAGGCAGGGGCTGTCCTCCCCAGAGCATTGACTCCTGTCTCCGTTTTGAGGCTGTTCCCACAGCCTGTTAGACTGCTGTTGAAGCTGGAATATGGGATCCAAGTGCTGGAAAGATACAACTCCTTAGAATCTTTCCTGTCATTTTGTTCCTAAGCCTCTCTCTTAACTCTAGACTAGGAGCTCCTGGATAGGCAGGAAGGCCCTCAGCTAGGATTGGCTTAGGGGATGAATGAGGAAACAGGCGCAGGGAGCTCAAGTCACACAGCTACTCAGAAACAGCCCAGACACACTCCAGGTTCCCTACTACCGTGACCACAGCCTCTCAGAAAGGGGTTCCTCCCCAAGGCCCCCGGAGTCAGCAGTGTAGGAAGCAGGGAGTCTGAGGAAGGTTTTGCTGCAGGCTGGGCCACTCTACGGGAGGGACATCCTGCCTTTTTTTTTTTTTTTTTAGAAATTTTATTGGGGAACAGCGTGTTTTTCCAGGACCCATCAGCTCCAAGTCAAGTAGTTGTTTCAGTCTAGTTGTGGAGGGCGTAGCTCCTTAGCCCACGTGGGAATCGAACCGGCAACCTTGGTGTTATGAGCCTACACTCTTAACCACCTGAACTAACCTGCCGCCACAACACCCTGCCTTTTCTTCAGACCCTCATCTTGGGTAGTGTGCACATTTCTACTTTTGTTTTGGAGGGAAGCAACTACTTCTTTGGCCTGCGAGGCATCTCCTGTTGGGCGTCCTCATCCCCCGAGCTGCCCTGGGCCTGGGGCCCGTGCCCACTTTGCGCCTGGTATATTTCTGGCTAGGTCGGTGGGCCATGTCCACAAGCGAGTCACTGACCACCTAAACGTCATCTACTACGTGGCAGACACCTTCTCTGGGGAGTACACAGGCTCCAGCCTGAAAACAGTTGAACGGAACGTGGAAGACGATTATATCGCCAACCTCCGAAACAACTGCTGGAAAGAGAAGCAGCAAAGTGAGTGTGTGTGGAGGGGGGGGGGGGGGCACAGAGCTTCACAGCAAAGAATAAGAAAGTCCCGCTTGCCCCGTGATTTGTGGGCCCAGTACCTGGCACTGCCCTGCGCCAGCCACCTCCCAGCCAAGAGCTGGCTCCACCCCTGTGTTTCCCTGGGGCCAGGCGCCAGGGGCCACTTGGAGATTTCCTCTGGGTTCCCGTAAGTCACTGCAATCAGCCTGTTGTTTGGCTGCAGGTAAGTATGTAGACAGAGATTGGCGCAGACCACCTGGTCACCCACTGATTGGACATCCAGCTCTATCTGTGGGACCCTGGGGAGGTCAGGATGATAGGTTCTCACCTTGGCTGGCCTCAACCCCACTCTACAGAAAGGGTCATCTGTCCATCTCCCAAGTCGGGACCACAGTATTTGCTCTTTCAGGCTCCTCCCAAAAGGGAGGCCTGCTCCCCCCAGCTCCTAGGCCTGTAGCAGCCTTCCTCCTTTCCCCACAGGCCAGATAGCTGCCCTCTCGGCCTCCAGGAGGTACCAGGTATGTCCTAACCCTGCCCCATTTCTTTGCAGAGGAAGGATTACTATACCGGGCCCGCTACTTCGGTGACACAGATATGTACCACAGAGCACAGAAGATGAGCACCCCAAGCTGTAACCGACTGTCAGAGGTGCAGGCCTCCCTACATGGATAGTCCTGGGCCAGCCACGCTACCGAGGTCCAAGTATGAGCCAGGGCCTCTCTGCCCTGCAACTCCTGGCAGCTCTGGCCCTGGTCCTGAGGCAGAGGAGGGTGGGAGGGGAAGAAGGAGGGAGCCTGGTAATGATGGTACACACTGCTGTCCCCAGCCTGACCTGCATTCTGCAGAGTTGGGGCAGCTTTGGGGCATACCCGGAATCTGAGGTCTGCTTCAGGCCTCTTCACCCCATACCCACCCTACTCCCTGGCTCTGGGGCTGTGGGGTATGCAAGGGCCCGGCAGAAGGGGGAGCCCAAGGCTGCTGCTGAGAGCCACTTGTGCCTCCTTGGTCTACTCCAGCCATTAAGTCACCACCGCTCTTTTCCAAGTGCAGCAGACTATTGTCTGTGCCCTGATATTTAGGCCACCAAGTATTACTGGGCCCAAGATAGCACCCACACGCACTCCCCACCAGGGAGAACCATGTGGAAACAGGTGGCCAAGAGCCCTTCCTCTCCCTCTGCCCTTCCTGGCTGTAGGAAATGGAACAGGACTGGAGCCCAACAATAGGCAGAGGGAGCCAAGAGGCTGGAAGCAGGAGGGGCATGTGCACCACTCCCTCTGGTGGGGCCGGAGCCGCCTCTCTCTCCCTCTCTCTCCCCCCCCCCTCTCTCTCTCTCTCTCTCTCCCCCCCCTGCACCTGGCAACCTGGAAGCCACAGGTATCCAGCCTGCCCAGGCATCTCACCTGTGGTCTGAGGAAGGGAACAGAAGGTCATGAGTTCATGTGTCCTCAGCACAGAAGGGGTGGGGGAAAAAAGGAAAGTTGCTGGCAGCAGGCTCCCTGCTCCCTTTACCCCCTGTGTGTGGGCATTGGGCTCTGCTCCCAGCATTTGCCAGAGGGGACAACTTGGACCAAGCCCAGAGGCATGTGGGCAGAGCCGGTAAAGGTTCTTTCCTGTGTTGGTACCCGTCCACCCCTCTGCCTGTGTCCCTCGGCGGGGATCCAGGTACAGACTCTCTGCTTTGAGGCTGTTTGCTTGTGCCTCTAGGAGAGTGCAGCAAACCGCAGGAGGGCAGTTGGTGCAGCTGAGGCAGGCAGGACAGCAGCAGGAAGGGTTGCGTGTTCGAGTGGGCTAAGCTGGAGCCTCTGGGCACGTGACTGCCTCGCTAACTGTTACCACTCTCCTCCCTAGACCATGAAATCCCTGGAGAATTTTTGGTGACATGCACTGAGCCAAGGTGATGGACTGTATATTTAAGAAAAGACATAAAAAGGAAACAAAAAACAAAAAACATTAAAATGGAATTGGAGGCCGAACGCCGCACAACTGCCCTCTCTCTCACCCAGTAAATGCAGAAAGCTCTTAAGACAGACAGGAAAACCTGCCACAGGGCTGCTTCCCTTCCTCCCATGGCTGGCAGAGACTCAGGCTCCACATCAGCTCTCTCCTAGGATACAGAAACCATGGCAACAAAAGTAAAATGTAAAACTTGCAGCAAACGTCTGTAGGAAGGGCTGGGGGAGGGGGCAGCCACTGCCTTTCTTCCTCCTCCCAGGAGCCACCACCAGTCACCTCAGTGGCAGCTCTGTCAGAGGCGCTGGCCAAGGACAGAGGGGGAGGGAAGGGCTTTCTGGAGAATGTAATGTATACATGCATGTATATCTATATATATCTATTTATATGTAAATAGCATATATAAAGATATATATATATAGATATATATATAGTCTACTTTTTAAACTATGCAGGGGTTTGGTTTAGTTGTTTAGCTGATTTTTTCCATGTTTTAGAAAATGAGGACCATTTGGGGAAGGCTGCCTGGTTCTTCAAAAGCTAGACGTTAGCCATAGCTGACAGCGGAAGGCAGGTCAGGTCCTAGCTTTTAACGCTCCCCTCAACCCCAGCATGTTTTTGATGGCAGCAGCAATCATGATAGTATAAATCTGTAGAAAACTTTTGAAAGTTGCCAGGTTCATGGTTAAGCTGGAGGGGAGCAGGCTATGAAGGGAGAAAGTGCCCGGAGGGCCGGATGCCAGGTCAGTGTTGAGTCATGGTAGAGGCCCCAGACTGCCTTCTGGGGTGAGACCACCCACCTCAAGCTTTGGCCAGCTAAGATGGGCTCTTTGTCCTAGTACCCAGGAGCCCTCTGACCCCCTGCCTCAGAGAACAACAGGGTTGGGAGGGGGGCCAGGTCCTGCCTAGCCATCCCCCTCTCCCCGCAAGTGAGTTTTGCCTTATAGGTGCCACAGGGCACAGTTCCATTGTTGCCACTGGTTTTTCCTGAGTCGTGCACCAAGGACTCCAGAAAGCTCTTCCTCCAAGAGTCAGCCAGGTGGTGCCCAGGACCCCCGGGCAGCAGCCAACTCCTGAAGAAAGCCCATGCCTGTGGGCACCTGTCTCCACCCTCCGTGGACAAGACGCCACCCAGCCTTCTCTTGCATTGTGGACAAAGGATGCACCTGAACCAGAAGGGTTTTCTTATCCTCGTCTTCAAATGAGGATTTTCCTCAAAACAGCAGTTGCTGCCAGGGGAAGGGAGGGAGGTTTTATTTATTCCCACAGTTTCAACTGGGTCTTTTGGAATTACCGTTTTTTTCCTGAATTTTTCTCTGGCAGTGGGTGTTATCGAACCTGCCATCTTCCAAAGCCTTACTTCCCCAAGCCAGGAGGTAATGAACATCCTCCCAGAGTTTTTTTCCTGATTCTTTTTAAAGTCCCCCAACACATAGGATTCTTGCTGGGAAAGGAAGCTTGGTAAAGAAATGTCAAATGTGGTTTGAACAAGGTCCTACCCTGTGATGAAACGGCCACCCCAGCCCAGAGGGATGATAAGAACTGGACATGGGCGAGAGTGCCCCAGGTGGTGGCCCCGGTGCTCTGCCCCCACCGCCCTGACTGGCGGGTCTTGGTAGATGTCCCCTAGACAGGCTGAGCCACGTGCAATAAGAACATAGATCCTAAAGGATTTCCTAAGAAGCTGTACTTCTTGAATTAGAATTCTGAAATTGTACATCTATAAATATGTTTATTATGTGATTGGCTGTGGTGGGTCTGCATTGAGTAATGGGGCTGGGGTAAGGGGTCATAAGCACCTGTTGCTATTGACATCCCTTCAAGAAGTTTTTGGTGACAAGCCTGAATGTCCCCCTTACCCCTTGTCCCAGCTGACAGCCACTTAGGTTACAAGACTTGTTCCAGGGCTGACTGCATCCAGGTAAAGGAAGAGACTCAATAAAGCCAAGATCCTGAGGTCCCTGATGCCGGCCCTGGGTTGGCCAGCAGGACGTGACCAGAACCTCTGCCTCCCCCTGTTCCTGCTCCCTTCACCCCTCCTATTCCATAGGCCTACAGTGAACAAAACTGCCTCCCTTCTCCCCAGCCTGCAGCGCAAGCCCACAACAGCTGCAGGGCGATGGAAAAGTTCTCCGAGTTTCTTTCCATCTCTGGCTGCACAGTCTTCCCAGCCATCCTTCCCACACTGCCCCCACAGCCCGCCCTCTTCCCCTAGAAAGTCGGAAAAGTTAAAAATGAGGCAACCCGAGTTGGGCTTCCCGTGAATGGAACAGCAGATCTGCTCGGGCCTCCCAGAGACAGGGCTGGGCAGCCCTGACTGGTGGCCTGAGGCCCCTCCCGCTACCGCTTCAGCCAAAGACAGGCGGGCTGCCTGGTGGTGCCACTGCAGCCTGGGAGTTCATTGGCTGCCCCTCCCGGGGTCACTGCAGTCTGCCCAGCCTACTCTGCGAGCTGCCACTTGTTAGCTGCAGTTGGCAGAGGCGGTACCAGCCGCCCTCATTTACCCAACCCATCCCCCTGCCCTCAGCGTGCTGCTCAGCTAGCCAGAAGGGGTGGAGCAGACTCCCTTCAACTGTTTGCTGCAAAAAAGAGCTTTTGACAAGCATCCCCACCCACTGTCAGGTGGCAGAACCAATAGCCTGTCCAAGCTCCCAGGATCTGCCAGCTTATCTCCTCATCCCAGGCTGCCCCCCAGATCTAGCGAAGGGAACTGCTCCAAGGAGCAAGGAACGCACATCTCGACCTATAGCTTGACCCCACTCCAAGTTGCCCAGGCAAAATCACCTGGCTGTCTAGGGCAGGCACACGTAGTGCCAAGACTCCCGTAAACAGACTGTTGACACTCAGTTCTGGAGCAACTCAGAATCCTTACCAGACATCACACCATGTGATTGGGGCGAGTCAGCCCATTTCCCAGAGCAGGAAACAGGCCTAGGGGAGGGAAAACGATGACCAAGAGTCTTCATAAAGCTGTGTATGTCTTTGGGGGGACATAAGTAGCAAAGCAAACATTTGCTGAAACTGTAATTCACTGTCTTCAAGGAGATTGACCCTATTTGTGCCGGGTAGGAGAGACCTGAGTTCAAAAGGAAGGAAAGGCCACACTAAGGGAAATGGGACTTAATCTGAGGGACTTGGGCTGCCCATAGAGCAGATGCACCCCCAGCAATGACAAAGGTGTCCGCCAGCTGAGCAGGGCAACTTCCCTGAGTTGGCATTGCCCCTGAGAGGCAGCATAGTAGGCCAATTGTCAGGTGTCATTGTGGTCCCCACAGCCCCACTGCCTGGGCTGGGTCCATCACTGGCTGTGTGACCTCGGACATGACGCTTAACCTCCCTCTGCCTCAGTGTCCTCATCTTCAAAATGGGAGTAACAAAACCACCTATCTCACTGGGTTATTGTCAGGAGTAAAAGGGTTATCTTATCACCTAGACAGCACTTAACATGATGTCTGGTACACAGCAAGCTCTATTGTCCTCAGTTGACAAAGATTAACTGATTCACCGACTGGGTGTCATGTCCCATTCCAAGCACTGAAACCACAAAGGTGACTGAGATGTTGACTGCCCTGGAGGAATTACGGGGCGGGGAGGGAGTGGGGGGAAGGGGGCGGAGAAGCCTGTGTTCCACAGACCCCAGTGGGCAGGACTGTGGTGGTAACCAAACCTGGGAGGAGGCAGGTGCACGCAGCTCTGGCTGGGAACCCCTGATAAAGGAACTGGCACCTGTGAAGGCAGGGCTGGGGGTGGAGTGGGTACTCTGGCCAGAGGGGACAGTGTGAGCAAAGTCCAGGAGCAGGGCAAGTACGGAAGTGTGCGCATTCAGGGAACAATACACAGGCCAGGTCCCCAATCTATAATTGTCACCTAACCAGTCACACCCAGTGGCCTTGGGCAGAGATAGAACTTCCCTGGGAATGAATGAACAAGAAAGAGACCCTGTGCTCAGGGAGGCTAACAGGAACTGGCAGATGTAAGGCTAGCCTTGCCAGAGGTGGGGAAGTGGGTGGGGGCAGAGGGAACTGACAAAGCAGGAGCCCTGGGTGTGGCATTCACACTCCCCCTCCCCCCAGAGTCTCATGGAAGGATGTTTCCCCAGGAAAAGGGCCCAGCCCTCCTGTTGCTTCCATAGCCCCACAGCCATTTGAGTAGGAAATACAGGTCCAGAGCCCACACAGGACCAGGGGTGCGAGGAAGGCACTCTCTAGGATCCCCACAGCCGAGCAGCCCTCCCAGAGCCTGAGTTGGGGTTTTGCTTGGGAGGAGAGTAGGGAGTCCGACTGCCACACCTTGTCCCCGCCCACCTCCCCTTGGACGATTTGGTCTAAACAAAGTCCCAGGGAGGGCAGGGCTGCCTTCTGTAGCTCTGACTCTGGGCTTTCCCTTGGAGAGGGCAGGGTACACTTCCCCAGTGGAGAGATCAGGCTCGGGGCCTTCAGGAACTCTGGTGGCAGCCCTACTTCCCTAACTAGATTCTTACCATTTTTCTGATGGACACAGTGAGGGGCCCAGGGGACTGACCTCTAAGCAGCACAGGAGGATGCTGGTGGTCTCTTTTTATAGATGGGGAGAGTGGAGGCCAGAGGGACAGAGTGAGGTCCCTTTCCTGGCCCCACATGGCTGGCAGGGCCCTCATGCTCTGACCCCGCTGCCCGCTGGAGCCTTCTCCACCCACCCTTTCCTGACACGTTGCCCCGGTTCCTTCTGGCAGCGGCCTCCCTGCAGCTCCTCCACCCCATCTCCTCTGGGAGGCCTGCCCGTGTTCCCACAGCCTCGGCCTGGCTCCACCCTCACAATCATTCTGGAGGTGTTCCTGCAGTTCTTGGACGAAGGCTTCGCACCCTGGAGAGGCAGGGGCCTGTCTGTTTGGCTCAGTGCTGCAGCCCCAGGGCCTGGACACAGTGGGGCCTCGGTGAACACCACTGAAGGAAGAAAAGGGCCCCCTGAGAACCCAGCTGCCTTTCTGATGGCCACTCATGGCTATCTCTCTGCAGCTTTCTCTGCCTCATCAACCCTGCCCAGGGTAGCCCTGTAGATAATTGTGCAGCCGTAAACCCACACACAGGACCAGGGACACTTCTCACAGAACTGTGAGGGCTCAAGTGAGGTGTGCCCATCTAGGGAGAGGACCAGCAGGAGGAGGTGACCAGCTCCTTGTGGGATAAGCACTGAGTGGGCCTTTTCCCTTTTCCCCACCTCCTGGGGGAAGCAGAGTCCTGCTGAGCGTGCCCATGTCTCCTCTCCCTGAGTGAGCACCGGTGTACTAGGGGGCTAGTATGAGAATCATAAACAGTGCTCGTCCTCGAGGACGAGGACCCCTGACCCCTGGCCAAAGTAGTCACCACCCCTGATGAGTAGAAAAGGATACTCTCTCCAGCATTCAGGCCTCTGCCAGGTGACGCCACCCACTCCTGGACTCAGACCCAGTTCTGTCCCTTGGCTGCCCCAGTGCTGCCCTGGCTGCAGGCCTCAGGGTCACTGCTGGCAGGATTTGCTACCTGCTGGCCATCAGCCGTGGTCCTAGAGGCTGAGGATGGCATCCTGGACCCTGAATGTCAGGCAGCCTCCCCCGATCACCACTAGACTAAAGGAGCCACACAGGCGGCAACTATTTCGGTATCATTCGGGCTGTGGGCCCCAGGCTTCACACGGCATCCAGGTAGAGCTGGGGGCCATTTCTCCTGGGTCGGCCACGGGCCCGTTCTCCCCCTGGTCCCCTCCCAGTGCTGAAGCACTGGGCACAAAATCCTGAGATCAGGTTTCAAGCCTCAGCTGTAAAGGACATTGGTGTCATTTAATAGTTGGTGTTGTAACTTTAAAATTATACATAAAGAAGCACTTTCCATGTGTATCATTTGAAGTTTTTTATTATAATTATTATCATCACCCCACAGACCTCACCGATTTAGTTGTTAAGGTCAGTCTCTGTCAACTGTGGAGTGTAGAGGCTGCTAGCCGGACCAGGGTGGGTTTTGTACAAACAGGCCCTTCCTGGACCCAGCTTCGCCCCGGGCCCCCAGCACATGAGCCCACCTCACTGGCAGCCTGGGGTTCTTCCAGGGGGGGGGAGGGCGGGCTTTGGGCTTCGGGATGGAGTTGCATGACCCACATCTGTTCATAGTATTAGCTCCGGAGCTGGCAGGCCATGACTGTAACACAATTCGAGGAACTGTTGACTCTGCTCAGCTCATGTTCCCAGCCCAGTGGCTGGGAGGGACGCACGGAGAGGGGAGCAGGGGCCTCTGGTACACGGAGCCAGAGAACACGCAGGAAGACGGCAAGTCCCTCCAGGGCGCTGCTGATGTCAGTGCGAACACGCGGACTTCCTGAGGGAACTTGGGTCAGCGGCCCGGCCAGTGGCATCCTCCCCTACCTATCCCTGCAGTCCGGCTTCTGAGGACCTGGCCTCCCCTCCTCCCTTTGCCCTCCCTGCCCCTCTCTGACTGAAGCAGGGAAGATGATAGGGTGGGGGTGGTTAACCCTGTCTCTTTGGTTAGCTGGGAAGAATACTGCCCTAGACCCCCAGGATGAGGAAGAAAGGTTTCTCTCTCCTGCCTTCCTCACAGATTCCCACCTCTTCTTTCTGTCATTGGTACCTGCAAAGATCAGCGTCCAGGGATAAGCTAGGGACAGTCTGGGCCTTGGTCAGGTGCTCCAGACTGTGGATCCAGGAAAAGACCAGGGTTCCTGGCTAGGTGCCCAGCTCTGCACCACAGACAGGGGGATCTTTAGTCTCATTATGA